TATTTCAATTGATACATGCACATCTCATGTACAAATTCCATGCCTTAAAAGTTCAAGATAATCACTGGCCAGTGCCAGCGGGTCTTTAAACTACCGATCCCTTCGGTTTAATGCTATTTATGGTGCGGCGGCGATGGCCACTCGTGGTTCAGATTTAACAAATTACTCTTGGAAACTTTAGCCAACCATATTACAAATATTTCCATTAAAATTTTATGAAAATTGATCACTTTTAATTATGATTATTCTATTAATTAACTTTTGGGGAAATACTTTTGATTCGCTTTCAATGGAATCCTATGGCATTCTACTGGGGACATTCATTTGGAACTCACTGTATATCTAATCGATATATAACTTAACTGAAAAATGATTATAAACTTTTAGATCGTCCACTTCAACTTGACATCATCTATAATATATTTACAATACATTATACTGAATAACACTTTTTATAAATATAAAATTTATTGAAAATCTAAAAAATTAAAAATAATAAACGCAATTTTAAATGCTTTTTATATTATTAATTTAAATAAATATGATTATATCGCTCCGTTTATACAACTACATATTTTTAACCAAAATTCTATATAGAATAATGTAGGTTGTATGATCGTTCGGTTATTCCCTTCCCCTCCTCTATGGGATTAAATAAAGAATTATAGCGTAATGCCATTTTGCGTATAGCATTTGAGTATTAAATACTCCAAATAAAGTATATATAAGAACACCTAAGTGTACTTCAAACATACTCCAAACTCAAGTCATACTTGAATTGATGATGATTATGCCCACGTAATTAGTGGACAGTTGTTTTTTTAATCAATGACCAAAAAGATCAAGCACTGACCACATGTCATACAGGTTTTGACATTAGAAAGTATACTCGAAATATACAGATAGGAACGCTTTTTACTTCAAACATACTTTATTTGAAATGATGTATTTCAAGTTGAGTGCTATACATGAACATACCATAAGTAAATGATTATATTTATAATTAAACTTCTATACGTTTACAATGACGACGCGTTAACATGAGTTTCTATTGGATTACAGTTTAAGTCTATGCAATGCAAATGCAATTAAACAAATATCAATCATATTAGCTATGTTATCAATGTGGAATTAATTTATTGTATTGGCAATGATAAAATTTATGGATAGTCTATATTTTAACATAGGGTTAATATAAATTTAATGGTATATGTTTAATAACGGGTTAATTGTTTATCTTATAGTTTAGATGTCCATATGCGTAACATTACTCATAGGAATAGAAAAGCCCCATTTTAAACTGTAGTCACAATTTAAGGAATTTATTCTTAGGGGGGCCGAACTATCCTATAAACCACATTATTCATATCAGAATAGTGGTTAAAAATATATTATATAAATTTTTAGAACGAGTACTCTTCAAGATATTCGACTTTGTGATGTTATAGTTCATTAATCAAAACCCTGTTACTTCATACTACATGGTAATTGTCGTTATTATTTTAGCCTTTATTCATATTGTTAGTACTAATAAAAATACCATTACATACTTTGCTCAACAAGTCTCAAATCTGATGTTGTAAGCGTATTTATGCATATCGGTTATTTAGTATTAGCACATTGGTTACCATTCTTTGTTTGTTCTAGCTATAATGTATAGAAATAAAAAGATAAACTTTAATGACAGTAATAAGAATGCGTAATACGTGACAAATTTATTAAAAACAATTAATAAAATAATGATATGTTCAAAACCTCACGATTAGAGATATTGTATAAATATTTAAACAAACTCTTTAAAAATCTTTGACAAATAAAAATTAACGATTTTTATGTAATAAATCGTTTATATAAATATCTAAAATTTATAGTTATGTTTAACTAATAATTATTTTTCGAATTTTCATTTGAATATAGTAAAATACCTTGAACATATGTTTTTACTTCTAATAATTCATTGTATGTGAAATTGATATAATATATGATTAGATTATATATTGAAACCAAGTGTACGGCTATTTTATATATATGTTATGCATATACAAAAATAAATTTATATAAGTTATGAATATCCTTTAAATTGTTAATTATATTATCATTACTAAATAGTAATCACTAATAATTACGATTTTTAAAAATGAGTCTTGATGATAATAGTTTAAACGAATACAGAATTGTGCCTGTTCAAATAATCAATATAGTAAAAAGATGTGGCAAAACTAATTATGTGTTGAACAAACCGGATCTGGATCTTATACTGGCTAAAGTAGGAGACCGAAAATTTGCTTTAATTTTTAACGTTGGTATACAGGGAGAGGGCAACTCATTTCTCCTCAATAAAATCGGCCGATATATTATAAATTGTGTCAAAAATCATGATCAGTTGCTATCGATAGATGGACAGGATGTGGACTACGATATGGGCACAGAAATAGAAGTTCTTGAAGATCCTGACGACCCGTTAGTCGGTAATTAAAGTGATATATATCTATTCAATAATATTTAATCTATTTAATAAATTTTCAAATTAGTCTTATTTATCTATCTGTCTTTAAATTTCTTTCATTTATTCTCGTTGTTAACCACAAGTTAGTTATTTTAACATAAGAAGTTTTAAGATAATTTTCTATGCTGTAATTAGCGTTGCCAGATATACAAGAATTAACGAATATTGCATAATACAGGTAGGTGTCATTCCTGTACATTGACAAATACAGGAATAAATATTTTAACAATAAACTATAAAAGTATAATAATATTCAGATTTGTAAATAATAATAGTCCTGCACACTCACAATCTGAACTAATGCTAGAAATAAAAATTAATTAAACATAATTAACTACATTATAAATATCTATAAACTAAATATAAATACATTGTATAAGCACTCTTATTTTCTCAAAAGTATAATTCTTTGGAAATTGTATGAATTTAAAGTTTTGTTTTACAAACAATAAAATACATGAATTTTTGGTAAAATTTGCACAATTATACAGTAAATCCAAAAATTTTTTTGGCAACGCTAGCTGTAATCATCATCATGATCTCTAATGCAGTTTATGATCATTCTATGGCATAGAGTTAACGTAGATAATGTTAAGTCTATAACAATTCTAATCATATTGGTAATAAAAGTCCATGCGTAATGCTAAGTTTATGGTTAATTTTAAGCTAATGATAAAAATAATCTAATGAAAACTATGTTAAAACTACGAAACTAATATTATTTTAATGGGAAAGTTTTTGTTTAGAGACTATGATTTTCTAATGAATATATATAAAACGAATTTAACAATTTGAATAAAACTAATTGTTTTCAAAAATATTATAAGTTTTTAAAATAATAATAGAAAAAGTATCATAATCAAAATTCACACAGCAATCCTATACGCTAACTACAATTCTTATTGCTTACATAATAGATTAGCATTATCTACACATTTATTAAGAGTCCATAGGATTAAGACTCCCTATTGATTTATCATTGCCCATATATTAACATTAGTCCAAAGGTTTAGCATGAGTCCATAGGATTAACATTAGTTTCAATGATTTAGCATTGTCCATAGATTTAGCAATGTTTATGTTAATTCGATGTAATAAACTTATCATCATTAATGTTAAACTTATGTCATAGACATGTCATAAACTTAGCATTAGCCATTGGATTAGCATAGCCATAGCCTTAAGCTGTAATCTCATGTTTTATCCCATTAAGCGGGGGCCTGGGGAGGGGCATATAATTAGATTATTCATGCTGAATTGTGGTTAAAAAACAGCTGATAATATTAAAATTTTTTATTGTATTTCCTTAAGTGGTTAACGGATAACATCGCTATACAAATCTAGTTTCACTAATATTTTGAATAGATAAAATTGAAATTGAAAATAAGTTTACAAAAGTAAATATAAAGTCAATTTATCCTATATAGGGTTTGAGTGGAATTCAGACCCGAATGAGACCACAACGAGAGGTATTTGGTTTTCACAACCATTTATTGTCCACAAAACCGGTGGCGAAGAGTTGGCTATTATTTTGGTTGACACACAGGGATTGTTTGACGACGAGTCCACACAACGGGATATGTCAACAATTGTAGGGCTCAGTCTATTGAGCGCTTCCACATTAGTATTTAACGTCAAACGTTTAAAAGATGACGTGCTTACTATTATGCACTCATTTCTGGATTATGGACTACAAGCTGTCGCTTCCGTAGTGGCTGATGATGCTGACGATGAGCATCGTTGTGATGATATTAAACCTTTCCAGAACTTAGTATGTAAAGATTATAACTTGATTGTTAACTTTATCATACCCTTAATGGGTTTTGCAGTTTTTATATCGATATTAGAACAACATATATCAAATTAGAGAAGGATAAGTAAAGAGAGAAATAATATACACTATAAATTATATATACATTATTAATTACAATTATTGGTTCGGGGACCCGCTATCACTGGCCAGTAATTATCATAAAGGTCTATGGCATGGAATTTATACATTTTCTATCTAGCTATCATATAAAGTAATGATAAATTATATCCCGCCACACACTCTCCAGTTACAGACATATAACCGAACCGCACCCCAAATCCCGTATTGAAAAGCATTATGGGAAATGTTTGATGTTGGTTATAGGTCTGTAACTGGACAGTGTGTTGCTAAAAATCATTTATCATTACTTCATATGATAGCTAGATAGCAAATGTATAAATTCCATGCCATAGACTTTTATGATAATCACTGGCCAGTGATAGCGGGTCCCCAAACCAACCGATGCATTCACTATAACGCTATTTTCTTTGCGGCGGCGATCAGCACTCGCGGTCAAAATTAACCATATTATTTTTGGAAACTTTAGCCAACATTAGGGCAAACATCATTGTTAAATATTTTTAAAAGCAGTAAATTTTTACTATGATTATTTTGTTTTTTAAATTTTATGTAAATACTTTTGACACCACGTTACATTGAATTCAATAGGAAAGTCTTATGTAAAGGGGCGGTCAAGTAATTTTGCGGCTCGCGATTTGGCCATATCTCTTAATCTATAAGAGATAATTAGATTCTGTAAAATGTATGTAATAGAGAATTATCGGGGAATTTTTTTGTATATTTTATAAATTTATTTTTGTCACGTGATATCCTCAAAACTAGACGATTTTGAATAATCATATTATAGGTCAAATTATAAGGGATATGGACGTGGTTTCAGTGTATGATTAATAGAGAGATAAATGGTGTATTATATAACAAAAGAATTATTAAAATCCAATTTCAGGTTTTCACATAGCAGCTTAACAAACTAAGCCAATTTTTGCATGTTAACCCATGGGGATAAAAAATAATATTGTATTTTAATATAATTGATTATATTTTTTAAAACTACATTCAATGCTGATAATGTGAGTAAAAGAAATTTTTAAAAATTCCACTCCAAAGACCAAATATCTTAAATTGAAATATTCAGTTTTAGCCATAAAATCCAAAGAAAACTCAATATTTTTAATAGTAATAACAGATCAGTATGAAAATAATTGTCAATCTTATTTACAATGCTATGTCTATAAGGCTTATGTTAAGTCTATAAACAATGCTAAGTCGATGTGCAATGCTAATCATACGGAATTTTATTAAATGTGTACATAATGCCAATCTATTTTTAACCACAATTCAGTATGAATAATGTGATTTATAGGATCGTTCGGCTCCCCCTCCCCCTCCCCCCTCCGGCCCCAGCCCCCTATGGGATTTAACATGGGATTACAGCTTAAGTCTATAACTATATTTTAACATTGGAAAGCTCTCATAGGATTAACATAGGGAGGCTTTAACATTGGCTAACAATTCCCAATTATGATTGTAAATAAATTTATTGTGCATAAATTAATTAATGTATCAAGTTCGCCCATTTATTTCGTATAGTTGAAAAGTTGTGAATATTCGTATTTTAAAATTTAAGTTTAACAGCAATGATATATTACAACATTATATCTGTATATATTTAGTAATAAATTTTGATATGGATAGGTTTTTATGATCCGAGATTGGAGCCGCCCGGATTCGCCCACCGAATACGGCCTAATTGGTGGTCAATACTTTTTGAATAATCGCCTCAAAATTAATGAACGTCAATGCGACGCCGCCCGTAATGCCAGACAGATAATACGCAAATGTTTTGATAACATAGATTGTTATTTGATGCCTGATCCGGGACTGGTGGCACAGCGATCGACATTCCACGGTTGTGACAATGAATTGAACACTGAGTTTAAAGACAAAGTAAACGAATTTTGTCGTTATCTCGTAAATCCCGATACGATTAAAGTGAAAGAAATTAACGGCCAACCGATCACTGGCCAAGAGTTTGGCCACTATTTCGAGGCATACGTTAATATGTTTAACAGCGAATCGATGCCAGAGGCGTGCGATCTTATTGAAGCGACACATCGGGCCCATGATATAAATTTAATTAATAAACTTAAGGTAATTAATGAATTATATTTATAATTATTTAATAATAAAAAATTTAAATGTAGTTTTAATTAATACTATTAATTGCTCTAAGGATGAATATACAGCAGGCATGGAAGCCTTAATGAATGGTGATTTATTCATTGGGCGCCATCAATTCGCTATAAACTCAATAGATTTATGCAACGGGTTGCAATCAAAGTTCGCGTCCCGGAAAAGATCGATTGCCGAGTCTGTGATCCGGGAATTGACAGATCAGTTGTCTCTCACTTTGGAAACAGTCTTAAGTCAGAAAAAAGAGGAGAATGAAAACAAACGGTTGACCCAAACAAATAATAAGGTTACTGAATTGGTCAATGAGTTTAAAGAAAATATTGACAGCCATATTACGCGCGAAAAGTGTTTGACCGAAGATAACCTGAACACAATTATCAGAGCAATACGAGAACATGTGATAAATATATTTAATATCTTTGCGGCAATTGATGTTACTTTATTTACCGAAACTAAAAACACGGTGAACTCTATATTAATCTAATATTTTTTATTTTACGATATAATAAAAAATTAAATTTTTAATTATTAATAATTTTTAATAATTGTGATATAGTTTTTAACAGATTTAGAAAGATTGGAAAACGTTTACAAATGTAATAACAGTCAAGAAATACAGAAAATAAGCACCAAATACGATAGCTTTACGTCTTATCTTAATACACAATACGACCAGGTTACTTACCATTTATTAATAATATATTACAATATAAATTAATTATATAGAAAATGGGCGAACTATTTTTTGAGCATGATAAATTCTATGTTAAAGAACATCTCGATACATTAAGCGGTGCCATATTAAACGAATTGGTAATACAATTAATTCAGACCGATGAGGGCATAAACGTCGTCTCAATTCAGCCGTACATACAAGCCCTACACATTCACGAGTTTCATCGTATCGCAACCTATAGGGAGATTAATCAAATTCGTACTGACAGTACTATGAGTACAGTTGTAGAAAATTTGAAGCAACAATACGAAAGTGAGTTGGCGGCATGGATTGACGTTACTATCACCGAAGATAGAGACCGATTCAAAGAGGCCAGTCGACGCATACGCAGTCACATTGTTACTGAAAATACACTGCGATATCAGCATCGATTGAATCTGGTGCAGTTGTGCTCCCAATTAGACATTACTGAGCGCGAAATGCTGGACGTGTTTATCGGTGAAGTTGGCGTTCGAAGCCGGGCCAATGCCGCTATTATCGATCAAGTGCTTAAGTGGTATAACCAACGCGTAAAAACAGAATATGGATTACAGACGTATATACGGCCAGATAAGTTAGCAAAGATACACGAAGGACTGGTAAAGGCTGCTGTGGCTCGTTTTAAAGGCGAGAGTCCGCATTTAAAACCTGAAGCGTTCGCCGATTTAATAAAAAAGAATTTAAACATTGCTTACACACATGTTACTAACCAAAACAACAGTAACGCCCCGACAGTGCCGGCCATTGGGATAGATTTAGGCACAACAAATAGTTGTGTTGCTTATTATAGGCCTGGAAAGTCAGGCGAAACGGGTCACATTCAAGTATGTCGTAATATTAATATGGAAGTGACGCCCAGTTGTGTTGAGTATAAAGACAACGGAGAAGTAGTGGTAGGCGAAGAGGCAAAGGATAATCTGTTGGGCAGTCGGCGACAGATTATTTATTCGGCCAAACGTATGATAGGTCGACAATTCGACGATCCCAAAATCACCGAATACAGCGAAAACTGGCCATTTAATGTAATTGATATAGAAGGTGCGGCAGGTGTTGAGGTGGAAGTTGATAGCGAGTCATGTCAAAAGTTACCTGAAGAGGTGTCAGCTGATGTGTTACGCAAAATGAAAGAAATAGCCGAACGAGACTTAGGTCATCCCGTATTGGACGCCGTTATAACAGTACCCGCATATTTCAATGACGCCCAGCGCTTGTCTACTATTAATGCCGGCATTATGGCCGGTCTAAACGTGTTGTCTATTATTAATGAGCCTACAGCTGCCGCTTTGGCCTTTAAACTCGATAGGTTTGACGATTCAAATGCGAGGTTTGTTTTGTGCATAATATTAAACTGTTTTATGTGTCGTTCAATACAAAATTTAAACAATTATTAATATTTTATAGAACGGTATTGGTATATGATTTTGGTGGCGGGACATTCGATGTAGCTATATTGAGACTGTCAATGGGCAGTGTAGAGGTGTTGGCAGTTGGCGGGGCCACCGATTTAGGTGGCGATGATTTAGATCAAAAGATTATCGATTATTGTTTTAGTGAGTTTTATTTAAAAACGGGCGTTGAAATCGATCAGCAGTCAAATGAAGGCGAGCGGGCGAAGCGCGCTCTTAAAGATCGGTGCGAACGTGAGAAATGGCGTTTATCCGAAATGACTGTCGCCACCATCGCTGTCGACAAAATTATCGATAATCTAGATTTGGCCATTGAATTGACACGTGAGAAATTTGAAGAAATAAACATGTCGATTTTTGAGCGTACTATGAATTGTGTTACAACCACTATGGCTAAAGTTAACGGTGGCGCCGGTATAAAGCCAGAAGAGATCGACGATATAATACTGGTCGGCGGCTCTACTTATATCCCGAAAGTTAAAACAATGATCACTGAATATTTCAATGGCCGCGAACCATCACATTCCGTAAACCCAATGTTAGCTGTGGCTGAAGGTGCGGCTCTTAAGGTAACTTAGCAGTGCATAGCATTATAATTATTTACTGTACATTTTTTAATAATTTTTATCAAAGGCTGCAATTTTAAATGGAAATGAGGCGTACCTAAACAAATACTTACAAGTAAGGGAAGTTACACCGCATACCCTAGGTGTTAGAGAGCATGGTAATTGGATGAGCCCTATTATTCCGGCCCAGTCCCGTGTAGACGGCATACCTCGGACTAGAGTGTACACTACTGTATCCGACCATCAAACAGAAATCGAGGTGGAAGTGTATGAGGGGGAAGACCCGGTGGCCACAAATAACACTCTATTAAAACAATATGTTGTGACGGGTATACCACCTCAAACTGTTGGCAGCCAAAACGTGTCTATTGAGTTTTGCATAAACGATGATGGTGTTTTGAAGGTTAAAGCCAAAGTTCTGTCTCAGGGAACTGAGCAAGAAATGGAAGTAACCGAGTATAAAGGCCGCCTCTCTACCGACGAGCTGATCATCCAGCGCCACCATTTATGAAAAGTTTATATTTGTAATTTTTATTGATATTAGCATTAAATACAAATATTTTATTTACATTAATTTTATAATATATACTGTATGTAAAGTTATATATTGTAAAACCTAATCAGAGAAAGAGTGAGAACGTATTACAACTTATACACTGATCAATTTATCTGTTAATTTATATTGTTCAATTAATCGTAATAAATTCCGTTTGTGTTCTCTAAATCGGTTGACATCTGTATTAACACATTTCTCGCACAATAAAAGTTGTTGGGCAATTTTCTGTTTTTTGGTAGCGATCGCACCGCACGTCTCGAGTCGGGTCTTAATATCGGCACACAATTGGCTAAAACTTTGGACCGTTTCGTCCGCACTTGAAATGGCTGTGTACGCAGTAATTTCTAAGTCATCGAGAAAGCATGACACGTTAGGCTCGAGTAGTTCTAGTGGTAGTGATCTCCAAGTAGCACCCGACAACCGTTTGATGCCATAGGTAGCTTGTGGACTTTGCACAGGGGCTGTCATAAATGCACCAAGCTCGCACAATATTTTACGCTGCTCATAAATGCACAGGCGACTAAGCCCTTTAATTTTTGGCCTGTCAACAAGGTCAACCGTAAACTCTATGCCGTCCAAGGTTTTAAGTTTGGCTGTCAAACACACGACGAATGTGCATTTATCCATATAATATTCTATTAACAATCTTGTAAAAGGAGTTGTGTTATTGACAATCTGTTTGTCCGGTTTGTTCACTTTAAACGTCTTAACAGTGGCTTCGCCCTCATTGAGACACAACTCTATGGGAAAACTATTGTCATTTAATTTCACCACAATCTGTTTGGGCTCTAAATAATCATTAGGATTGGCGTTTATACGGATCAGTGTACAACACTTTTGCAGGTTGCTGTTTATAGTGACCATAAGTTTAATGTCTGCCCTCACGATCTCCTGTATATTTATAATGTCCAGTTTTTTATCCATTAGTTGTCCGTAATATACGGTTCCCTTTGCTATCACATCTATTGGATCGCATGCATACAATATGTAATGTTTGCCTGTAATTTCCGCATAAAGTGTAGATGCAATCATATTTATTAATTGAGGTATTTTGTCAGAATTGCCGATCACTAATACTCGGTGTAGATCTCGTTCGGTTAAATTAACTAAACATAAGGCATTTGATATGTAAGTTTTAAAATATCCAGGGCGATTTTCAAATACATTATAGTTGTTTACTATACTATATGTTAGATGTTTCATGAAATTTTTACCAAGTATTATTAAACCGACTTCACAATAATTTCCATGAATTGCAAAAATTATAACTATTTCGTTGGTAAGTAATCTAGAGTGAGAGTCGATAACGTAGGCCAGGGCTGCGGCAGTCATTTCATTGACAATATGAACGTTGTTTCGGTCAAAACCTGCGATTAGGCCCACGTCTAACATCGCGCGCCTCTGTTTAGTGTTATAACGTGTGGGCACACAGAACACAGCCCTCTGTGCGGGTGTTTTCATCGCAGTCTCGGCCCTGTGTTTGATGTCCAACAACTGTAGCGCCACCAGAGTCTCAACGTTCAAAACATTTCCAGTAGTGCTCTCTTCGGCAAACCGTATACAAACTTTTGGCGGTGAGTCTGAGCACCACTCAAAAGGGTATCGCTTGAGTTCGTCGCCGTCCACCCGATCCCTACCCAACAGCTCTTTGATATCAAATTCGGTGTCCAAACCACATGTCAAATACTCTCTGGCTTTTCTCCCGAACAGGATTTTATCGTTTATTGCAATACAATTGTCGACATAATATTTACTGTCAATATTGTTCTCGTCAATATTATCACAATTATCATGCACAAATAGTATTCCACGATTAAAATAACCTGCCAATAACAGATTGCGCTCAAAATAGATACCTATTGTATTAGTTGAATACACGTTATAAAAGTTTTTAAATCCATACTTGTGTTGTTGGTTCATTAAAATAACATTCATTTTATCTCGAGTTATGTGTTGAACATTGTAAATCAAATCCGGCTCCCATTCCTTTACAATTGTATCCATCCGTTCAGTTAATACTGTCATTATATTGTTTGACTCACTTTCGAGCAAACGCTTCAATTCATTGATTTCTATGAATTCATTGGCCAAATATTTTTCCACATTTTGGCAATACTTTCGGTGCATATCTTTTACGATATTATTGTTTAATAAAAATAATCGATTAGACTTTGCATAATATTTTTTTTGAATTTGTAAATAATTATAATTTAATATAACAGAGCTCTTTTCAACACACGATTGCTCCAGTTCACTTTGGGTATTAGTTAATACGATAGAGCGCTTTAATAATTTTATGCATTCATACTTTAAAACGGCGTGAATACTGCTTAATCCCAATGCAGTGTAATATTTTGATTTTAAAACTTGGTCAAATATTTGTTTGTATTTCTTCGCTGTTAATTCTATTGATTTTTGAACCACAGTCTGTTCGTCATGTTGAATTCCTTTAATTGTAATTTTAAAATATTGGGCACTTTTATCATACATTTTATGCAATTTATCCCTTAATTGTAAATTTGACTGTACATCTATGGGCACCGGTATCTGTCTTTGTATAACTTCGAGTTGTTTATCAGATATTAATCTGTTGAGAAGTATTTGTTGTCCACACATATTATAATAACTTTCATTGCAATCGTATAAATGTTTGTATTTTTCCGCATTTTCTCTGATATCTTGTGTCAATAGAAATAAATATTTTTGCATTTTTTTATCTTTCGATAGACCCACAGATTGATTATTAAACATTAACAATATTTCCTTATTAATTGTATAAAATATACTTTTATAATTATAAGCCAAACCATCAAGGTTAATATTCTGATCAATGGCCATGCACATTTTCTCATTAAATTCTTTAATACACAATTCACGTAAACTACAGTTACTTATATTAACAAACTCTTCATGTTTATGGTTAAACATTGTAATTTGTGTCTCGATCATTTTCAGCATTTGATCCGTATTTGTAAAACTAATGCCACGCAAATTATTATGAACACCGAAGACATCTAATTGGATGAACTCTTTCATTTGGTCCACATATTCCGGACACAGTTCCCGAACATTCCGGTCAATGTATTTTACTGTATATGTGGGACAGGCGACTAAATACGTGCCCTTTGTATTAAACTCTCGGCCGAGTGTTTCATACTTATCATGTCTGTCTGCGATTAGTTCAACATTCATTTGACTTGTCTGAAAATTATTGCAATCCCATTGGTTTAATGTGTGAAGAAATTGTACGTACGAATTGACCTGGATCACGTATTTATTATTAGGATGATTGTTTTTCTGTTTTTATATTATAACAATTATTAAGTTTTAAATTTAATTCAAAAGTAATTAAATAATTTATGTTAAATTGCTTACAACAACACCGGGATTGTTAATAACAAGTATATTCGATATGTTTGAAATTAGCCGTATAGTTTGGATCAGTTCATTATTATCCATTAGATCGGTAAATGTGTATTGGTAGTTTTGCAAATTAACCAGGATACAGGCTATGCGTTTATTACCTCGGTTTATAATTAGAGGGTCGGACCACATCACAATGCCCGGACACTTTGGTCTCTTCTGGCCATTTTCATCGTAATAATTGTCGATATTTTTGAACCCATAATATGGGGTTAGTGTTACTTCGTACGGCCATATCTCCAAGTCAATGTTGTTACGCTCGAGGTAATTTAGTATGAGATTAGCAGTGAAAGTGTTTCCCTCGAAATGCGGTCCAATCACTGATACGATCGCTATTTTATGCCATTCTTTATCATTCAGTTTTTGAAATACACTTTCGATTAAATGTTTGTTTAAATGAAATGTATTCTCAAACATTTCAACCACTCGGATGTTTGCCATTGTTTTCAATTATGACCTTTAAACAAAATATAAATATCTTTTAAAATAATAACAAGGATGATGCGCAATTTGCTAAATTAACTGCATTTCGAGATAATATAAAAATTATATAATGTTCCCATAGACATAGGATTGCTTAGAAGAACAACATTACCAATAGACTTATTATTACTCAAAGGATTAAGATTATCTACATAGAATTAATATTACCCATAGGATAATATTAGCTCTGTGTTAAAATATAGTCATAATCTAAAACGAAGATTCCATGTTAAATCCCATAGAATGAGGGGATGGGTACAAGAAAAATAGTTTACTTGAAGTCTATTTGATTCACATTATAGTGCACACATTCTTGTCTATAATAACAAATGCCAAAGTTTAATTATTTTAATTACAATTATTTAATCTAATAAAATATACTAATGATAAATTAATATGCGTATATTAAATATTAGCAACATAAAGAAGTAACCATCTTTACTTACCAAAAATGTTTCTCATGTTAAAACAATTAACAAATTAGTTTTTTAAATTAAACATATAAATACAGTATAACATAACAGTGATACTTGTTCATTCACGTTTTGTTAAATTAATGAAAATGGCAGTGAATATATAGAGATTATATAACCATAGATATCACACATAGTAAGTATAAAGATAAAGTTGTCATTATAATAATAACGTTGCTGTAATCTACAGTTTAGCTGTCTAAAGTTAAGATATTAATAAATTAAACAAAAAATAATAACCTTTCCCGTTCCCGATTGTACTTACTATTAGTCTCTCTCTCTCTCTCTCTCTCTCTCTCTCTCNCTCTCTCTCTCTCTCTCTCTCTCTCTCTCTCTCTCTCTCTCAACAATTTATACATTCATTCATTGCATTCAATGGTCATATTTTATTATCAATTATAAATTCATGTTAATTATAAGATTACTCATAGAAGTAATAGTACTATTGTTAATTGCCAAAAATTGAATGTAAACATTATATATAATGCTCTTTTCTCGTGAACAGCTCGCAATTGATGTTACCCATAATTGTGGCAATCATTTATATCGCTCACTGTACTCGTCCCTAATTTGAAT